CTTTGATGGAGTCCGGAATGTTTGTTTCGAATTAAGCATGGATGGATTGCGCTTTATGAACTAAAGCTTACTATTCTTGAGAAGGTGGTTATCTTGTATACACTTGAGCCGTTGTGTTGATACTTATTTTAAAAAATATGGCTCAGTCTCTCCTTTATAACTCCCTTTAAACCAACACCAATGTAGGATAATGCAGCGTTGTACTTTGTTTACTAATTGGTAAGCTTTTTTAGCGATTTGAGCCTAAAATATTGCTCAATTGTAAAAAAAACCTCATTCGTAAAAAAACAACTTCTGTGATCTCCTTGCGTACTGCTTAAGTAGTTGTTTTGATTTTACCATTCTATTCTTTTTTTTAATTACCAGTTACGTAATGTGCATCTCTTATAGGCTGCAAGCCCATCTTTTAAAATACGCGACATGGTGTAGGAGCTATCATCATATGGGAGATGGATTTTTTTGTTTTCTGACAGGATTTCTTATAGTTCTTTTTCTTACTGCTTTGGTTGCACACATTTTCGCACGAACACTGTGTGGACGTCCAGATGTTTTCTGTCACAAACAGAGTAGGTTTCTTCATTGTACTTTTCAATAGCTCGGTATACAAACGAAAAGACTAATATGAAGCGGATGGAAAGTTTCAAAAATAGTACATATTTGGTTCCAGACTTACTTTGTGTAATGCAATCACAGCGATTCGGTTTTCTTTATCACCCCACTTCATTTGGTATCACAAAAAAAATAATTTTATTATGATACCAAATCATTTCAAATATCATATTCTACAGCCCATTGGCGCGGAAATCAGAAAACAGAATTAACATTCATAAAAGAATGACAGATTCCAAATGCGAATGTAATATTTTGTTTAAAAATAATTCTGACAGTGTTTAAGGCCAGATTATACGTATTAGTTGTCTACAACCCACAACGCAAACTCTGCTTAGCTTGGGACGAGATGGCGTTGTGTACCTAAATATTATATTATGATATTATAAAAAAATATAAATAGTAATAGGTGACAACGGCAACGTAGGTAACACTTACAGTAATTACAAGGTGTAGTCTAGTTAAATATACATAACCATTAATTTCGTCGTTTTAAATCCACTCTGTCAGAAATAATTACCCTGTTAGCCTAAACAAATATTTATTAGAGTCCGTTCAAATGTTTATCATATTTTATTTGACAAAATATATTTGAGTAACTTATTATAACAAACGCTAGGTTCTGTTATGGTAATAAATATAATAATGTATCATATAAAATGCCACGTAAATGGACGATGAGTGATCCTTGTTTGTTTAATGAGATATAAAACTTTAAATAGTTCGGTCCCATTCTGAAAATATACATATATAATATATATGTATATTTTTTATATGACTAGAATGGCCTGATAGGGAAATTGCAACCGTTATCATTACAATACTACTTATTTACTGCGTATCAACACTTGAAGTAAATGACCTCGTTTCTCTTTATATAAAGGCTATATCGATAAAAATATCGATGGATTTAAAATAAAAGTTATAGTTGAATATTATATTTGTGCAAATATGCAACGAGTGCAATTTACTCCGCCTATAATTTTCAGGAACACGCGCGTGTGAACAAAAATGCAATATTCATTCGTTGTATATGATTTCGCTTTGGATAGCTGTACAATTTTATATTATTAAATAGATTGCCTTGGTTTATATAATTTATAGTGTGTATCTTTTATTTTATTGCTAGTAGATGCGTATTTCTATCTGGAAATATTTGTTACATGATATCGTGGCTGAACAAAAACTTTGCGTCTCTTTTTCTAATGAATAAAGGATTTTATTCCGCATTCCAAAAAATATCCTATATTATTGTTCATTTGTATCAAAATGCGTACCTTTGCAGGTATTCATTACCGACAGGTACTTAAATAAGCGTTTACAAAACAAACATAGCTATATAAAAAACACTACCTCATATTTATATACCTATATATTTTCAGGATATTTATAGAAATTATTGTTATTGTAATCATTAGGGTTTACTTCTTTGTTAATTAATTAAAAATTATAACACACTTAATTTCCATGTGAAACGGAATGATATATAATTGTTAATTGTTACTGTCAAAACCTTTTGTTTCATCATATCAGCCCATCGTGTCCTGATTCTGGGTATTAATTTTAAATCTAGTGAACTGAATGAAATGACTGCAGTTAGTGAGATGGAAACAGTAATTACATATTTTGCAATGTGTGTGTCTGGTATGGATTCAATACAAAATAAAAAATCTCTAATCTGATAAATAAGCATATACGGAATACGTACTCTTTATAATGTACTAATCAATCAATGTTTTCTTTTATAAGTATTATTATGATTATATACTTTCTGTTAACTTGCTGTGATCGAACATATTTTAAGTAGTAGATATAGGCTATATACGAAATCGTTTTAAAGCCTAAAATCGGAAATACCTAACCTTGCGACTTTGTTCAATACTTAACAGATATCATAGACCACACGAAAAATTAATAAAAAACATTAATAAATTGTATTTCGGAACAAAACTTTTGTTGTGACAAAGGTTAATGAGCTTCGTTAAAGGCAAAAGGGATAGGCATTTTAATCCATAACGAATTTGAAAGATAATCCATCATAAAAATATATTTCTGATAATGTTTGCGGATTTATAAATGGAATTCAAACTCGGGTATCGCAAATATCGATATTTTTTTAGGTCTTTAACATTAATAAATTCACGCTGTAACAGCAGAGAGGCTTTATGTACCTACATAGTTGAAAAACTTTCCTATCTCACAATCACAATTTCGTAACTATATTTTCTTTTTTTATACCAATCGTCATAGTGTTAAAAAGAATGAGGTTCAATTGATGGATAGTACTAATCGTCTTCTATAAACATAAATAGAATAAGAAACCACATTCTGACGTCCATGGTAATACAGGTACACAAAGTTTATATGGAAGAAATGAATTAATGTAGTTACCTGCGTGTGGCTGTGTAAGCGACATTTTCGTTGTTTTTACGAGAACCTTTATGATATTAAAGAACTATGAAGATCATACTTTGGGGGAATCGCGATGTTTAGTAATGAGCAAACGTAAAGCCAAATAGCAGGTCTAAAAACATAAATCCTTATAATACTAACTGATAAGATCTTTGTCATTTTTTTCATTGTGTTAAAAAAAAGATGTGTGTGACCATTTGCATATCTGAGTTGACTATATTTTATTATAGTTTGTGATACATATAATTTAATCTTATTATTAATTTGCTGCGTTAAGTGTTTCGGTTCTTTTAGAATTATTATTTCACTCACAGCTACGTTTGCACTTAAAGTTACTGCAATGAAGAAGTTTTCGAGATGTTCCATCTACCAAGTATAGTTTAGAATCTTCTGACTTCAATGAAACAAGATAATGTACGCGTTGATTCAGATGGCCTTTGAATTGTTTACGAACTAAATCTTCTCTATATATTATTCTAAGCTGCTGAAACTGCTTTGTACAATGTACTCAAAGTAATGTACCTAAATAATATTATGCAATATTATAATATCTCTAAACATTAAATGACTCTTTAAATATAATTATTCGAAACTGCACAAGATATCACAGTAGTTTATGATTTAACGTCTAAATGATTTAACAATCGTCCGGAATGAATGATGTCAGAGAATATGATAATAAGAAATACTTGTGAAACTTAACTATTTTCACCGAGAAATAAAATTGAAATCTGAAAATAATAGTTGCACTTTTCATATTAAACTGATTACATGATCGAGCAGTTTATGTGCAAGTTGTAAAAAATATTTGTAGCTTTCCAATTGTGCTTTTATGATTTTTTTAAGTGTCTTGAATTGCTACAACATCTGAAAAGACGGGATAGTTAGTAATAGATTATTGTTCCATATTTTTGACATGACAATCTAGGTTAAAGTTGTGAACTAAAAACATACTATCCTGCCTAAAGCATAATAGACGACTGTGATACGTTGTGGATATGATATTGTGTTTTTGGTATTTAGTTTTAAACTAGATTTTTGCGTGTGTTCGACGTTGTCTTGTCGATAGAAAGTTAAATAAACATTTTCATTATATTATTCATTGTACAACCTTTATATTATAAATTCGTATAAAGGATGTACAATGAATAAAGAAAGAAGTAAGAAGAGGGGGATCGAAAGAGTATCTGTTTGTATGTCAGTTTGGTAACTTATTTTAAAAGCACGGATATAGGTTACGTTTTATTAAAAAAGCATACAAGATCTCGAGTAATAACTAGTATTATACCTACAAATTTTATATTCTGGAGGAATTAAAGTTAGTGACGTAATATCTATGCATAGCATATTGTAATAATTGGTACGAGTATATTTGTAGTGTCTTCCAAATTACATTGCCGATCTCCGTGATATGCAGTTTAATTGATGACCTTTTGCTATGTCTCATGAAAGGATAATTTTATTATAAAAATTGTTTATTTATAGACATATTTTGAATTAGGTTACACGAGTACAGCTATCCATCAAATGTCACTAATCAATTACTTAAATTACATTCTACATGAGCAAAATTTAATAAATAGAATTTCTCTTCCTCCAACATACAGAACTCTTCAAAATTTATGAAATTTACACATAAATAGTAATTAAAATTATCGTACTAAGAAATGTTTCTGTAAATGACAGTGCAAATTTTAATGTCTAAATAATATACATATTATTCCCCATCTTACATCTAAGCGGCACATTATTTTCTATAGTACGCCGGTTGTGCAAAATACCATGCACGATAACATTTTCCATGCATATATTCAAGATTTATTTTATTCTAAGAACAATAAAAAATCTGTAGTCATTAAAAGTACTCAATGTCTTTAATAAATCAAATGATTTATGAGAACAACAAAACTAATTATAATTATCATTTCCAATTGATGTCGTTTTAATATGCGATTTATTTGAAAAATATTTTACTTTAGGTTTACTACTATATCGTGGATTCGCCGCGCAACGAAGGAAAAGATTTCTTTGAGATCAGCATGCAGACTGGCGAAATCTTTACGAAGGTGGTCTTCGATAGAGAGAAGCAAGGGGCATATGCTCTAGAAGTGGAGGCACGTGATGGAGCTCCCTCGGCCCGGCCCAATTCAAACAATCAGCCAAACTCAGGTAAGTTTATTTTTAATGTCAATACTTCAAAAGAGTCTAAACATTTGCAAACATATTTATTATTATGGGTTTCAAGTAACAAAAACATTATTTTTTACGTTTGTTTTGTTACAAGAGTCCTAAAATCACAAAGGAACTCTACAAAAGAATGATTTTATAAATATTTATGTTTGAAAGCATTTGCTACATGAAAAGTTAACATGATGAAGGTCAATATTAAACAGGTACATAGTAAATTTTATAGCCGGCGTTTTTAAGAGCTCATCCTGATCACAAATTAAATGAAATGTTTAAAAATGTTAAATGTATTATTTATTACTTTTGTTCGACTTATAAATAGTTATATTACAACACATACTAAACCTTTCTGAATCTGAAGACACAATCTGAATAAATTGTATATAAAACTGATATCATACCTTCAGTTTGTATACACATATACCAGGCTTTATTAAAGAAGAAATGACAATATCTTATTTATTAAGTGCTACACATATTGCATGTTTAATCATTGAAACATATATTTCGGATCGGATTTTATTCGTGATTATGTAGTAAGTATCTAATTGTTTCTACTTTATGGAATATATTTCTGAGTATTAATTAATTTGTACGCTAAAAGTAATATTGCTAATCCAGCAATGGAATAAATCAAATATCATATTACATATTTAACAATAACGGGTAGCTAATGTCACCTATCATTATTTATATCTTATCTTATTTTACCTATTGAAATTAAATTCAAAAATAAAACTAAAGCATTGGGATCCATTTATGATGTTTATAAATACGCAGTTGTAGGTTTTTAGTTAATTTACATATTTAGCACTATTTCATTATTCAACTATTCGATCATATAGGTATCCAAAGTACTTAGAACTTTCGACTTTTAGAGAGGATCGGGTCCCATTTTAGTTTCATAAAATTTAAGTACAGTCCGTAACAATAAAATCGTTCAATTCATCTGTTGAGACGAAGGGTCTTTGGGTCGAGAGGCGTCTCCACTTGAGCCCAAGGGCTAATCACTGCCGCGACCCGCATCCAAATGACTTTTTCTCCGAGCATGTGCCTCACATTGAAATATTCGTCGACGACCTTCTTTTGGCAACTGTCGCTAGCTGGAACTGCCTATCTGCCTATCCAAGTGGCGACCCTCTTCGTTGTGGATATTGACATACGGCGGTCTCATATTTCACAGTGTTTTCTCGGGTGTCGGGGAATTGATTGTATCGCTACGTGTGACACTATAAATTGTCCGTTTTCAGCTTGGCCCTCTATTAGGTAGGCAGGTCGGCGACGCCTTGCCGTATCGCGTCATCGTAAATCAGGCAGCAGAATAATCAGCCGATGCCCCAGGCCCGTAATCCGGTTAAGCTACTCATCCTTGTATCTGTCTCGCGTGTACAATAGCGAGCTTTAGATCACTTGTGTTTACATTTGTATACATATCTACCAGTTTTATTGATATATAGCGAATGCCATTATTATTCATGGGACTCAATAAAATACTGAAGTAACACTCAATCGTAAATTTATACTATCTTCGTGTACGTGCCGGGAATGCAAATATCCACGTCTTGGATTCTACGAGTAGTGTCTTCTACAGGTATTTAACAACGCTGATTAAATACTCCACCAAGTTATAAGTTTCATTGTGAATACTTACATTTAAGTTGGGGAAAGATAATAAATTGCTTTTCAGTATTGAATGTAGGATTCGGTGTGAATATTGTGGCGGACCACGTAGCAATTTCAGCATATTGCAGTTGGTCGTGAGAGCGGGGACGGCCACGGCAGCGTGGTATGTGCGCACGCGGTTCGCATACTGATCAGCATATGAACATACCCGCATTACAGTAGTCACTATTGTATAGGCAACGCAATTTGCCAATGTTTAGCAATCGATTAAAACTAATAATATAAAGTCGAACTTAACTTTTAGAAATATTTGAAGTGTCTCATTGTTTTATTTTGTTATTATATTAATTTTTTAGATTCCATGAAATATATTTTTAAATAATAAATATCGAAATTATATAATACAAGTATTACGAGATAAAGAATAGCAGTAATTAACGAGTAAAGGATCCGTCGGTTTGTTTCTGTTTCCCATTCCAGTTAAATCGTTAGAATTATGTTTCGTTGTGTTATAAATAAAATTGTATCGTATATACACCCAATTACTATTCGATGTAGTATTCTACTATTATTCTACTCATATCGATAGCTATAAGAATGGACACCAGACATGGTGTTATCATAATCTAATTTTATGTGATAGTATTGTCAAATAATAAACATGTACATCTTAGTCCTTATATCTAATTAATTTATAAGTAGTGTTAGTTATAATAGGTCAAATAAAATTACCTGGAATTATGATTATTTCACGTAACAATAGTTCATCGAATCCTTTTAATAATAAATGAGACATAGTATTTTTATGATTTGATTTAATTAAAATAAAAATTGGATACTTAAATTTACTTTAACCTTCATTCAAAATTAAGTAAATCATTCAAACAAATCCCAAACATATAATTCTATAATCACAGAATTTAATGTAGAATATAACGTAATAATACATTTTTAGAACGTATGTAGGTATATCTGATTTACGGTTAACGAACTGCGTTTTGCAATCAGGATATCAATATTGCCAGCTTATTCAAATTATAATGGAACATGATTTAATGATGATGGCTTCCCTTACAGTGGTACATTAATTAAGGCTAAATATTATTTCAATACTAATGACTGACCACGATTTATTCTGCATAGATTATCCCATAGAAACGCAATGAAAACAGATATGAAAAATATTATTCAGTGTAATATTGTTTCTTCATAATTATGGCCCCCGGTTTCACCCGTGTGAAGTTTATAGCATAAACTTCACACGGGTGAAACCACGGGCACAGCTAGTATATGCCAAAGCCTATTGATAAAACGAACATATTTTAAATAATCGCAATAATTGTTATCAATAAAGGGACTTTAACTTTGTGACTAATGTTATTATGTCATACGTTGTAAAGTGACACTTGACATTAAAAAAATCAATTAACTGTAAATATTTGAAATGTGATTAACTAGCAACTTTCTCCGTTTTCGCAGGAGCGTTTCAATAATTTTATACAAAACATTAACGAATGCCCATTAATCTTCCTCAGAACGATTCAGTTGACAGATGAAAACCGCATGAAAATCCGTCCAGTAGTTTTTTTAGATTATCGCGAACATGCAGGCAGACTTGGCGAGGGACAGACTTTGTTTTATAATATGTATATATATAGAGACTAATTGTTTTATTTATTAATAGTTTTCGACTCTCGACACTTTCAACTTAGTTGAAACAACGGATGAAGTAAAAGGAAAATTATTTAGTTATACAAATAAAGGACCTAGTAGATACACAAACAAATGTAAATGGATTTTTTTCAATTAGCATACTTATTATCGATAAATTTTTTAGTTCTCGTGAATTATTCAAGAAATTATGTAACACGGAAGGTGGCGTCAAGCGAAAAACAATGAATCCAATCGCAATGAGAAACGGGATGGTACAAGTAGTCTCGCCCGTCGGGCTTCTGAACCGTATTCGTTGCTCGGTATTCCTTGCTACATAGCACTGCGCTTCGTCGGTTCAACAAAATTTCAGTTTTTTTATTGCCAGTTTCTGTTTTCACGTTTTGCGGGCTTCTCTTTCAACTGTACGTCCCTTGGCAGCACTTATCGTTTATTACGACTGTTTTTAATTTGTCTGCTTTTAATGGTTTTTTACTTTGTTTTTGTAGTATGATCGTATTCTTGGTTTTAAAACGATGGATTCTTAATCTGGATTTATGATTTTGGGGTTCTGAGTTCTTGTAATTTTTATTGTCGGCATTAGTTATTTATTCTGAATAAAGCTACGTCTGTAATTTTAAATGCGTAGTATGCATGCTTATATGTAGATTCTACGATCCGAAGAAAAATTAATATGCATCCTTCTACATATCAATACTATAAACTGCAGTATTCGATATATGACATTGAGTTGAGTCGTTACATGCCCAGAGTAACTTTAGTAAAAATTTACGAGTTGTGAAAATTTCATTGTTGTTACATCTTTCTTTTGTTAAAAGTATTTTCAATGCTTTGATAAGTTTTATTGTTCAACGCTGATTATCTTCAACAAATCTTAACTAAACTTTTGTAAGACAGAAAAGAGATTATATCATCCCTTTGAATAGAATAAAGCGAAAACGTCACTTTTAACAACAGTCTATTTAAATCTGAATTTTATCGTTATTGTTTATATTTAAAAGATACACACTTGTCTTAAGGTCGTCAATAAATCTGTTACTGTTCTTTTTCTGTCACTATTCTTTACTAATTTAATTTCCCATTAGTTCTAAAGTCCGTCTATTATTAGTAACCAGCAAAATATAGCCCTTCGTTTGTCGTGACATACAACTTAATATTATAACGTAACAATATCTATATTACTTATACCTTAAGGACTAACATATATATAGAAAATAATAAAACATAAAATATTAATCTAGACTTTGTGGTCACCACAATCACTATGGCACTATTCGACAATGTATATTCATCATTTATAAACAAATATTTGGATGAACTTAAAATCTGACTATTAAATTGAACTCCTGGTATACGCTAAAATAGTTCACTTTAATGAAGCGTAGTTTTAAATGCATCAATATCCAAATTTATTCAATGCTCAAGTTAATTGAGTATTACCTACGTATTTCTACGCGTTGTTGACATGAATCAAAGAAGATTGCTGCGACCTGCTACTAATGCCAGGATGACGTCAAATAAATGAGGGCTGAACGCTGACGCCGGCGGCTGCCAGTGTCGGGGTGGACCGGTGCAATGTTGCTTCAAGTCGTCTATTTCAACTATTTCCAATTACTTGGGCTTAGAGAAGCTGTGCAATGTCGCCAAGTGACAAAGCAATATTCCGCCCCGGAAACTTGGTGGCCTAC